TTTATATAATGTTTGTCCCTGAAATCCCGCGAGATTTGTACATTTTCCGACTTTTTCACAAAAGAGCGCACTAAGAAGAATAACTCTTCCATAGTGGAAATAGAACGTATTATCAGGTGACGATAATCATGGAGCTTTACCCAATTTTAAAAACTGTTTGAAAACCCAATTTTTCACAAGGAACACAAATCTTGGCTAAATTTTGTAATTTCTTGTCTTTTTCGATTTTGTCAAGCGATCATATTTTATTGTACACAGCTTCGACGGCACATCTAACCCCCCCCCCCTCCCCCCCCCGAATAAAACTACAAATGCTGTTTCTACTTTCTTTCTTTACCTCTCGTATAAAAAAAAATCTTTATTTTTCAAACTAAATATTATATGACTAATATGCATTTGAAAAATACGACGCACAGACTGAATATTTGCAAGAAGCGTTTTGTTTTGAAGTTTCTGAATATTTTCTAAATAGCAAATTTTTCTATCATAGATTCTTCATTAAATTATATTTTATAATGTTTGTTAATTTACTTAGTTCTTCATATTCTGTTACCTTATTTATACAATGCATACCTGTTCGAGAGTTTTAAAATGTTTACAGTTTAAAAATTATCAGAAAAAATAAAAGAAATTCAGAATTATAATGTATTAATTACATACGCACCCCCTTTCTTTCCTAAAATGCAACGATCGTTTTCAGAATAAGTCTTCCCACCTACTGAAACTTAAATACATACCCAATTATCTTAAAGTTGTTTATTATTCATGTGAAGTTTTACTATGTTATTGTTCATCTAACTGTAGGATGAGCTAACTTTCGACCAAATCGTCTGTTTGATTGGGCATTTAAACTTTAAATTATTCGTACATACGATTCCTGCAGATCACACGCCCAATACGCCCTTCTTCTTTGTGAGTAAGGTGACCTACGAAATCCAAGAACATTCGTCCCCCAAAACAATGAGGGTTCTACTGTACTCAGTGTACTTTCATGTTTACTGCTACCCGACTAATTCAAATTTACAGCATAACAGTATTTATGGTCACCAATGATTGTAGCTTCAAATCAGCTAATGGTCACGTGATCTTATCATGAAATCAAACTTTTAATCAAATATGCAATTAAATTACAGTTATCAGTATGACACTGTGCACAAGAAAGGAAACAGAATTTTGTGAGATCTCTTTAGAAATGACATTTGAATTAACGTGTTTAGTTTCGATCACAGGTACTTGTGGACAGGACCCCCCCCCCCCCCCCCCCCAATATACCCCACGGGTCAAAAATATGTTTATGTATTTTTTTCATAAATTATTCTTCTAGCTCTATTTTATAATACCGCGGGTATGATTTTTTTTAGTAAAACGTTAATTCTGCGTTATTTTTTGGATTTTTCTTATGGAATACATTGTAAATGTGTACTAGAAGAATAATTTATGAAAAAAATACATAAAATATTTTTTGACCCGTGGGGTATATTCGGGGGGTGGGGGGTGGGGTCCTGTCCACAAGTACCTGTGGTGAGCAATAGTACATATTACACATATAAATAAAAGAATATGAGGGAATAAGGCGTAGAAAATGCCTGTATCTTCCAAGGAATTTTTCTAACTTGTGTGAAACACATTGTTTGTTGTTGTATGGTATGAAATTATGCCAAACAACCCTAAACCAATTTCTGCAAGAAATTATTGGGGTTGAATCCATAAAACTCTATCGTTTTTCTTTGTCAGATTTACATCATAATCTTGTCTGTAACACATCCCTCGTTTAACGTTTACAAAGGATTCGATTGCCATGACACGAAATACTTTTAGGGCATAGAAGGTCCTCGCTCCATTCTAAAGTTACTATAGTTATCAAGATATATACATAGAAGATATACTTTTTATAAAATGGAGTGAAAACCCACTCGTGAGTTAAACTGTTATACCAGTAGGGTTAATGAAATGACCAATTTTGTCTACTTTGGTTTTTATATTCATTTTTAAGGACGAATACATTCATTACCAGTGAGGTCATAGCATGTTATATAATTTTACAGGAAGTACATACATGTATTGAAATTGACTAACACTTTCAATAAAACAAAGCAATTACAAATGTCCGCTCTTAAAGAAAAACATGACAACAACTTGTGAAAATGATCAAATTTTGTAGTTGCTAGTTCATAGCCGAATACTTGCAATACTAATGAGATTGTCGCATGTTGTATGACTTTTACAGCAACGACATAGTTAAAGTGAACTGATATCTCTCAGAAACGTGATGTTAGAGTTTTTTTTTACCAAATTGTCCCCAGCCACTGGTATTTAATTTGGCTTATTAAACCAAGCCTTCTTTTAAAAAAAGAAAAATAGAAAAGAAAACATAAATTTGGAGTGGCTATGTGGGATTAATGCATCTGTTTTAGGACATCGTTTCAAATGATCAAACCCACTCTCACAGCGCCCGTACAATCATTAATTCAAATCCCATTATATATGAGATAAGGAAACGCCCTTTGTTCTTCAAGAAAATGAACAACATAGGCTATATTTTGAACAAGCGACAACTTTGCTGTAATTCATTTCCTAATAAAACATGCATACACAAGATATAATCTTTGACGATCCCTATGTAATTGACAATAGCCATGTATTTACACTGCAAGTGAAAAAGATGAAGATGCATGTTGGATGCATCAGTCTGTGAAATTCTCATCGGTTGAAATACAAGAATTTTAAAAATCTTTTAAGGGCATCAATGCTTTGGTGACAGAAGAAAAATGATACCCAGTGAATAAAAAATAAGAACATATAAAATATCGACATTAAAATTCAATTATTTTAAAATGGTATAAAATTATGTTGTCATTTGCTTGAAATGAAATGGCATAAATGTCAATAAATTGAAATTCATCATAGATCATGAGAACCGGAATTTATATGTCTCATTTTCATTGATTTTCTCTGATGGATTAAGTTTTTCTCCCTCTCTCCGGCTCCTCTATCACCAAAACTTTAATCGATTCTACAAACAGAGGGATATATAGTACAGCGCTACAAATTAATCGAGGGTCTCTACAACTGACGCTACCATATTGATTACTAAGAACTAATGAAATCGGAGATGGCAAAAATTGTATTTGTTCCAAGTTTACAAACATTCATTTGAAAGTGTAAATAAAACATGACCCGGGCGCGTCTATGAAGTAAGATACTGGAATGTCATAAATTTGCAAATCTTCATTGTACGAATACAGTAAAAACTATCTAATCTGACACATGTGCAATCCGTTTCGCTGTGAATTCCGACCCTTGTTTCCATTCCCACTTTACACTATATATTTACCATGTTCTTCACACAGTTAAATTCCACACTCTGTCAATCCTGACACAAAAGGCATCTACCATATTAGACACACGTAATTAAGCTTGTCAATTTGATCATAAACACAAAATACATACACAGACATTATGCAATAATTCCTGTAAGTTCTCTAAGAAATTTTGTAGACACCGATTAAAGCGTTAAAAAATTGGTAATCGACAGCTAACTTGACCAGAAATTTTGATTGTGACTACTGGAACCAGCTGTCGTAGAAAAAATAATTAGCAAACTATGCATAAGTTATCAGCAAAGAGTTAGCTTCAATAGGTCCAGAATTTCATGACTTATTAGGTTTGTATCTTATTTCTCATGCAAAGTTGTTAAGCTCACTAACAACTCTGCGAATTGGATATCCCTCCGAAAATCCGGACTCAACGATCTTTGATTGGACCTTGCCATTCCCAAAGTCTCCAATTCTCAGTCCCGTGTGAAATCTTCTGTTAAATTACAGCGGGTTCCTCGCACATTAGTAATCATTACTCGAGCTGATTTATGACGGGTTTTGAAATTCTTTCCTCTAGTTCATTAGTCGTTTTTGAAAACCAGAATAAATCATCACTAATTAATTTTTTTCTTGACATTCCACAAGGAATAACGAAGGAGTAAAATTAATGATGGCGCATTTTTAAGCAACAGAATATATTTTAAGGTTCCTATGCTCGAGAACTGTTAAATTTTCCGTTGCTTTACATTGGTTCTGTATCCGATTACAACACTTTAACTTTGATGCTGTATCTACGAGCAGGCAGATTAGAAAACGTCCAACTCAGTTACTTTGAAACAAAGACAAATTCCTTGCAAACCCGATAAGCATAGACACATAAGAGAAGTCTCAAATAATACATTACAGTTGATGCTGAGAGTTTCAGGGAAGATTGTTCGATCTTTATAAGAGGTTTAGGGTTAAATTCCCTGCTACGATATTTTTGCATATAAGAAATGGCTATATCGCACCGCCGTTTTATTTGTTATTTAACTGACTCTTGAATTCAAGTTTAAAATTAGCTTAAATTCAATTAGAATTATTACCTCATTGCTCTTTATTTTGTCTTGGATTCGAACATAATTAATTGTTCACTTGCATCCAAGCTTTTTTTTCTATTAAAGAGGGAATGTACGCTTGATTAACATAAACACAATAATAGGGATGTTATTATTAAAAAATACCTTGTTTTTTTGTCACTTAGAAAAAATTCATTGTCTGTGATGGTGCTGTTGAGGTAAAATACTTGATTCAAGGACTACTTGTCCTCATTTCACTGTCGAAGAAAATGAATTCTTGGATTGCAGCAACTAATGAATTGGTCTGCAAATGTACAAAACCTATATCTGTTAGCGCTTTCACCGTTTAAAGTGTCTAGAATTCCAAATTGCGTGAAAACCATTTGAAACAAAATATATAGAGATATTTCATGTCAGTAACTTTCCAATGCATGTTTGCCGTGATATAGGATTACTGCATAGTAATGGTTGTATTTCATACCCCTTTTTAAACCAGAAAAAATTAAACATTACTTACATACATCGTATCAATGCATAATGTTCCACATATAAGTCCTCTGTCAATAATCAATGATATAATTAAGTAAAAGAATATATTAATTATTGTTATAATAGAGGATAATGGGATCGATTTGAAGATCAATGAATTTATGCAAACCATGTATAAAATTATATATCTCTTGGTAGTGGTAAAATTTGTATAATTTTCACAAGATCTCAATCTGCCTAGTTCCTTTAGCGTAAGACAATTTCGGTGACAATATCACTTTTACTTACAAAATCGTGCAAATGTCAATACTGTTTCACAAAACATTAAAAATAAAATACATATACAAAATAGGAGTGATTTCATCCTCTACTTGCTAATCGAGTTTATATCGTTATTCGATGAAATTTATGTCCGTAATTGTCTCAGAGAGGTCAACGTAAATACCACACAACAAACAATATTTCCTCTTACATCTGTACCTAATCAATACTATCAGCGTTCAGTTGAATTCATACGAGTAATAAAAACGTCATAAACAAATTACATTCCCATGGAATACATTGCATGATAATTGAATTTTCGAGACTTCTCGCATCCACACGTCTCTTTCTTCCTGCTAAACATTTGTGACGATACATCCTTTGATTTCCTTTTGTTTTTGTTCTCTAGTGTCTTCAAAAACTGTATCGTTTTCACTCATCAATTTAGCTTTTTCTTCACCAGACACATTTTCTTCACTTGCAGACGACACAGAGGAACGCTCACTTCGCCGAGGTTCCTCTTCATAATCTTTAATGGACTGCAAAGAACTCGAAGTTGGAATGCCTAGTTTAGCATTGTCTTCTATTGAATCCTCAAGGAGATACTTATCTTTTTCCGGATCTATTAATTTGGCAACAACTGCAGTGATCGATTCACCGTCCTGTTCGAACACATTGTAATCCCCTATCTCCTCATATTCGTCGACAAAATCACATTCCTGGTCACACATGTTAGGCTGATATCCTACTTTTTTATTATCCTCATTCAAATCCTTCACTTTTGTAGCATTCTCACAAGTCGCCCGCCTGTCGTCCATTATTGATGATTTTTTGTCTGTTAAGACCCTCTCCCTCTTTTTCTTCTGCTGTTCCAAGTAATTAAGTCTCGCCACTACTTGTTGTACCCTCGCATACCGCAAAGCCGTATAAGGGTCTTCTGCGTAAGATAAAAACTCGTCATATACTTTATCCTCTTCAATCTCCTGTTTCTCTCTCTTCAAATACAGAATAATTCCGATGATAATACCCAGCGAATAAAATAACAAGGTTACCACTATATACAGGACTGCTTCGATTTCCGACTCCTGTGGAGCTATATTGGCCTCTGTGGTCTGTTCGGTGGCACAGCTATGAGTCGTGTTCCTAGAGGGGACCATCTTAATTAGCTGGCGGAAAGAACATTTTCCCAAGCTGAAACAGATAATAAATCCATTAGTGGATAAACACGGCTCAAAGAGTATGTTAATTCAAATACAGAGAAAATTATCTTTTCGTTGAGATCCTAACATGTTCTTGTTTAAAAATTCCATCTTTAACGAAAGGCTTTAAGTTGAGCCATGTTTTTGTGACGAACGATATACTTATAGGTCTAAAACAAAGCCAAGCTTACATGTATGTTTAACAAACTCAAATTACTTTTTTTTTTTCAAAATGCAGTGTAGATCACGATTCATAAACTGACAAGGATGACAAAATTTTACACACCCATTTAATAAATAACAGATGATTGTTAAACACCTTTTACTTAGTATACTGTATTTTAATTATACTGAAATATACGGGTCGACATTTTATTCACTTTCCCCCATTAAAACCGTTATATAAATCAATTCCTCGGAATCCCAGTAAAAGTAATTGGTTTTTATTTACAAAATTCTTGAAAAAAATCTTCTCTTAAGCCTTATCAAAATTTTGTTTTTGCACCCTTTAGCACTTTTTCCATGGATTTAGTATACATGTAGTTCAGTATTTTCATTGTGAATATAACTGTCAAAAATACTTATGAGTTATAATAAAAATTAACTTTGTTTGTTTCGAGTCATAATATCAGTCTTGTTATTTCACATAGATTATTGTTTCCAAACAGTGTGTCCCTTAATATTTTCGTGAAATGTAAAATAAAAAATCTCAATACTTTAAGAGCGCCAAGAATTCCTGTTCATTTTGGGTATTCAAATCTATTCAAAACATCTCGAAAAATAATAATCGACAAAGGTTTGATAAAAAAAGCCCATTGTATGCTTTTCAAAATTCTTCGATCAATAATTTGATATTTTACAAAATAATTATGCATCATTCAGAATTATTCCATAGTAACACGATCTGCATATTATTTTATGTCAAACTTAGGCAAAAAAGCATACAATTAATAAAGATACCTCAAATGAAATGGAAAGTCTCTACTTCCAAACGGATTCAATCGCATCGGGCAATAACAGCCCTAGCATATTCTCTAACAATTAAACAAGGTCAATGAGTTAATGACTATCATACTGTGTTTCATTTGCACAAAACCAATACAAGAACTTGTCAATACAAAGTAGAAGAAATGGAAAATCCTCACACATATACCATAATGGTCAGCAAGACTTAACAAATGAAACAAAGGATCAATGGAACTTAGATTTGCATAGGATAATACTTTCGGCGAAATTGCTTTTCTTTTTTCAGGATTTTGGCGACAAGATTAATTAATGTAATTCATTAATCAAAGCTTAGGATGTGACAGAAACTATAGAAATTCAATTAAACAGCAACAACTCTTTATACAGAAAGAGAATGAAGCAAAAACAAATCTAATCAAGGCTGGTTAACGGATAACAAGACTGGCGAAAGTAAATATTCTACCCATTGTTTTGTAAAATGAACAATGTATTGATTCAAGAACGATGAAAAAAAAATCTGAACTAAAAGAATGAAACTCAATGAGTATTTAATAAAAGGGAAAATAACTAAAGCAATACTAGGGCCTCGACTTAGATAATCAATACTTTAGCGATATATTTTTCGTTAGTGAGAATCCATAAAATAAAAGTTTAACGGTGAAAGTAACATTAAGGAGGCATTGAAATACATAGTTAATGGCAACTCAAGAGAATTCCGCATCTTGCACGATTTACGAGCTGCATCATTACGGAGGAGCAACGAGGAAAAAAAAAACCTTTTCCCAGTATAAATGATAAAATATATCCTCATTTGGATTAAAGATTTAATGTATCAGAACCAGATCTCTCTGACGAGATTGTAGCTCTACTGGTTTGTAATTGTAATAAAGGAGGAGAAAAAACTTGAAAGTTAGTATAGCTATGGCATCACCAGTAAATAGAATCTTGGTTCAGTTTACTTCCATACCGAATTTAATTGTCTTCAGACCAAACATAGTAGGAAGAATAAAAAAAAAGAATTGGAAAGTTTTGAAAGAATTCCAACATTTACCAAGTCCTATTGAAAAGGTACCAAAACTGTAGGAGTAGTGTTTTGAAAGAATTTTACAGAAATTTCAATTTTAATAACCATGAGAAGACAGTTCGTAAATCAATAGAGAGAATTATGTATTTCAGTATGGTTAACTTTTAATGCCACGTTTTAAAAACTGTAGGAGGCGTAGCGTATCGAAAGAATTTCACAAAGATATATATTTTTACTACCCATGGCAACATCGATTGTCGAAATCAAAAAATGATACTTTATGTATCTTAGTGTAGTCTTCTTGTATATCAAGTTTATTGAAAATCTGTACTGTAGGAGGAGTAACGTTTTGAAAAAAATGTTGACAGACGACAGACAGACAGACAGACGGAACGAAGGACACTTTACCATCGCATAAGCTTTTCTGGTCTCTGACCAGAAGAGCTAAAAATTAACAGTATCAATTAAGACTAACAAGCATTCTGAGAGTATTGCATTAGCAATACTAGTCCCCTACCGGCAAGTGTAATCTGGTTCCCGTTAAAAATTGAAAATGCTATAATTCCGTCAAAAATCAATGAAGCGGGACGAAATGCAAACTTGATCTGAAACTAATCAAGGTAAAGTCACTTTTAAAAAATCAGCTCAATATCTGCAAGCGTTTAGAAGAAAATTGCGGAAAACCCCTAAAAATTGAAAAGGCCGTAATTCCCTCAAAAATCAATGAAGCGGAACGAAATGCAAACTTGATCTGTAACTCATCAAGATACACTCACATACCAAAAATCAGCTCAATATCTGCAAGCGTTCAGGAAATAAGTGCGGAAAACCAAGTGGGACAGACTGACAGACAGACAGAGGGACAGACAGACAGACGGACAGACGGACGGTCAGAGGAAACCTATAGTCCCCTCCGGTTTCACCGGTAGGGGACTAATAAAGTTCTGATCAAGATCAATAAAGCAATAGCAGTATAGTTTTATTTTGATCACTTAAGTAAATCATTTCAACATGTAGATCTAGCGATCAAAGAAATATTTAATCAAATATATAAATTCGAATATACACAGATAGCACTTTATAGGGATTTTGGTGTGTTGTCATGTTCTAAATCTTGAATTTACTGGGTGGGAGTAAATAAAAACATGTAGAACATTATGACAATAAATTGTATTTATTCCTACCCGTTAAATTAAAAATAAAACAAGATGTGTTTGTGAATCACTGATGCCCCCGTATTGCAACTTATAGCAAACATTAAACTTTCTCAAATGCAAATCAAATATGTTGGTACCCAAAGTAAGATCAGGGACCTATATACTAACGGGATTGGCAACTGTATATAGGTCCCTTGTAAGGTCTTGTCTCAAGGAATATACCTGTGAAATATGAAAGCCTGAGCAGCAACCATTGAATAGATATGGAAAAGTTTTTTTTTCAAAAGTATGTCAAACATCAAGGTCAAGGTCAAAATTAATGGTGCCCAAGAAAAGGCCTTCTCCCAAGAAATAAACAGGTGAAATATGAAAACCGAAGCACCAATCGTTCAAAAGTTATGACCAAGGTTAATTTTTTTCAAAAGTACGTCAAACTCAGAGGGTAAAGGTCAATGGAATACAATTGGTGGTATCCAAAGGAAGGTCTTGTCACAAGGATTATATATGTGAAGTATGAAAGCCCTAGCACCAACCATTCAAAAGTTATGACCAAGGTTAAAGTTTTTCAAAAGAAGGTCAAACTCCAAGATCAAGGCCATAGGGTCAAAGTTGTTGGTATCCAAAGGTAGGTCTTGTCACAAGGATTATATATGTGATGCATGAAAGCCCTAGCACAAACCGTTCAAAATTTATGGCCAAGGTTAAATTTATCCAAAAAGTAGGTCATACTCCAAGGTCAAGGTCAAAGTTGTTGGTATCCAAAGAAAGGTCTTATCACAAGAATTATATATGTGAAGTATGAAAGCCCTAGCACCAACCGTTCAAAAGTTATGGCCAAGGTTAAAGTTTTCAAAAGTAGTTCAAACTCCAAGGTCAAGGTCAAAGAGTCAAAGTTGTTGGTATGCAAAGGAAGGTCTTGTCACAAGGATTACACACGTGAAATATGAAAACCCTAGCACTAATTGTGTAAAATTTATGGCCAAGGTTAAAGTTTTTCAAAAGTAGTTCAAACTCCAAGGTCAATTCAAAAGGTCAGAGATATAGGTATCCAAAGAAAGATCTTGTCACAAGGATTACACATGTGAAGTATGAAAGCCCTGGCACCAATTGCTCAAAAGTTATGGCCAAGGTTAAAGTTTGGTAATTTTTTGCAAAACTGGGTCAAATTCCAAGGTCAAGTTCAAAAGTTTAAATATGGTGGTACCCAAAGAAAGGTCTTGTCACAAGGAATACACATGTGAAATATGAAAGCCATACAAAGTTTGTAGCTCCGATCAATCAAAAGTTATAGGCAAGATGAAAGTTTTTGTGGACAAACAGACAGACGGACGGACAGGGCATAAACTATATACCCCCGAATCTTCGATACGGGGGCATAAAAATTAGAACATGGCAGTTTTCTTTTAAAATATTAAACGTGATGCACGTGTTGAAAATCAAATTGTTGATGAAAACTAATTTTCATTTGAAAAAAAAAAATAATAAAAAATAAATTAGATAAAAAAGAAAAAGAAATATGGAACTATTCAGACATACTATTTCAATTGAGTTCAAAAAATATATAAGGAGATGCTTTTTTTATTACTCTCTCGTCTCTTAGTATTTATGGCTGATTAAAAAAAATGAAAATTTCCATAGCAAAGGACATTGAGCTCAAAAGAAGACGTCCAACGATCCAATGGAATAAACAACACTGCACATTGCAATTAAGAAAGTGAAAAGCAATTTTCATTTGACATAAAAATGAATAGGTTAATTTAATTTGATTATGACATACCTGGTACTGTTCTTGACAAAAAGATTTCTTAATTTGTTCCCAAGTTATACCTTGACTCCAACAATTAC